CTCTGCTCTTTCTTACCCCTCCCACCTCTGTAAACCTAGAGAGTAGGGAGTTGAAGAATAAAAGGCAGAAAGGGGCTGGTAATGTCTTAGCATAATCTTGAAGTCCCCAGTCTCTCCCTCCCACTCCCAGCCCCTGCTGAGGTCATTTTCTTCCTACTCACCTCCCTAGAGCCTGACACGCTGGTGTAATACACTTTAACGGAACTCATTGTTCCGAGGCTACTTTGCAGAAGTAACACAGGGTCAACCTCTTCACCGCTGCTTCACGCTCAACTCGGCTTCGCTGAGTCCCAGCACCCGGCCCTGCCCTTACCCATGGCCGTTGCTAAGGGCCAGCGACCGGTGCGCTCAGGATTGGCTGGGAAACAAGTGCCTCTGTGTCGCAGGCGAACGCCCATACTGGGGAACACAGCGCGCTTGGTGAGGAGGGGGTGGAAACCCCACCGGCCTAAGGGCAGGGGTTGGACTCCTACGGGTGATAAACTCCGGCTAAGTCCTCTTCTCTCTCCTCATCTGCGAGGCCCAGGGGCGGGGGAGCGGGAAGAACAAGTAGACTCTGCAGTCCTGCTGCTGCTTTTCCCCCTCCCTGCTTGGCAATTGAAGCCAGCGGGAGCCTTTCTGCTGGCAGCCGCAGCAGCCTCTGCGTATGAAGGACTGAGACACCTGGGGGAGAAGATGGTCAAAATACAATGTGATGAGTGAAGAAAAGAGATAAATAAACTCGTGTTGCCTGGGTTTGCAGGGACAGAGCCAGTGGTGCCGGCAGGGATGTGATCAGCCTAGCACATTTTGTTATCTGTTAGCACAGGGAGGTGCCTCCTTTCTCTCTCCAGTGCCCCCACCCTTCTTAAGGACGTGCTTCGCAGGCTGTCCTTTCCTTCTGGGAGTCCACCTTTTGGTTTGTGTAACAGCGGGTGCAGTAGTCCCTGCCTCTCCTAGCACTTCCTCTTCCTTTCCCCTGTGTAAAAAAGATGACCTCTCGCTTAAATGCCTGCTTCCTCTTCAATACACCATAGCTCATTTCCAGCCTTTATTTTCGAGTTTAACTTTTCTCAGTAGTGAGAGATAGCGACAATATTTACAGGATTTTGTGGGTTTGACAAAAGTTGGAAATGGGAATTGAGAGTGAAGGGCAAAAGAACTGCAGCTCCAGCTTTTGAGTTAGATACATTTGTATTCTATGGCTCTACCACTTAAAAGCTATGGATATCAGACAAATTACTTCCTTCTGAGTGTCAGTTTATTGTTAAAGTGAGGATGGTGATATCAACCTAAGAGCATCATTGTGAGGATTAAATGAATTGAATATGTAAAAGTGTTTGTCACATGGTCTGACACGTTGTAGGTAGTTCAGAAAATGGTAATAATTATTATCAATGACTGCCAGATTCTTTGCATATTGCTTGGGACCATATCTATTAATAAGACAAAGCATTTAACAAGAAACTTACAGAGTGATAACCGATAATATGAGATACATACAATGTAGAGAAACCTAAGCCAGACTAGGTGGGTCATGGCAGGCTTCTCTGAAGAATTGAGAGCTAAACTGAAACCTGAAAGGTGTATAGTCTTCTAGAAAATTATGAGAATTAAAAAAATTTTAGGTCGAAGGAACAGTTATGAAACAAGATGGTAATTGGACCTTTGGGAGCAAGTGGAGGCTGAGAAAGTAAACAGGGCAAATCACAGAGGCTTTCAAGTTTCATGTTGGCTTTTGGTTTTTAATCTTTTGGAGGCTGTTTCCTGTTTTGTTAAGTTGTAGATAATAATAACTTGTAGATTTGATGTGAAGATTAAATGCAGAAGTTGCCTAAGATGATCTTTCACTTATGAATCACTCAATGAATTGTATCTACTCTTATTGTTAATCCATGGGTGATCAGAAGCTATTGAAGATTTTAACAGGTTTGTCTGAAAGGCAGTCCAACCTAGTATGACAAGTGGGTTGGAAAGAAGCAAGACTGAAGCAGCTACAGCAATCCAAGAATGAAAAGTCATCACAGTAGCGAAAAGCAGAGATTCTGAGGACAGGGCATTGGTACAATTTGGGTCAGCTGGATGTAGGGATGAAGAAGACAAATGAGATAGGATATAACCAATGGGAGGAGTCTTGGTTAGGAGCAATTTGAGAGCTCTATATTCTTTTAATATTTCTTTGTAGTAGCATTAATAGGAAATCTTTTTTTTTCTTTTTTTACCATTATTTTCATTATCTTTCTGGTGTGGGATTGTGACATATTTCCTCATTTCACTGTAAGCCATTCCCTTGGCTCCAAGCTAAATCAACGAACTATTTCTTACAAAGAGGAGACTTTTAACAACCTAAAAGAATCTGGTTGGTATGGCATACAAAATTGGAATTAACTTACTCTATAAAATGTTTGTGATAATTATTTGAAGTGGTAAAACACTGTAAACCAAAAACTGTATTGATGATTGTAGCCAAAAAAATATCAACTATGTAGAAATTTTGCTTATGCTTCCCAGTCTGCTTTGGCAGTTTTATTCTGAGTTTAAGATTATTGTAAAAAATGGATAAGAGATTTGTGGTTGGGAAAATACATTATAAAGAAAGTAATAAAATTTTTTCTTCTTTTTTTATGTGTGTAAATTAGTTTTCTGATCATTCAAATGATATATGAACACATCCTCATTTGCACAATAATTCAAACCATATAGAAGTATAGGGATTATACTAAATAGTAAAAATATTCCTTCGCCTATTTCCTACCACTCTATCCCCTCCCCTTGCAGAGGAAACTATTAACATTTTGATTTGTATCCTTTTCTACCAACATGGTTACATATATTAAGGCAATTAAAAGGGAGAAAAAGTCAGTTTAGCAAGGAAGTTAAGCACACTGGCTTTGAAGCCAGGCTGTCTGAGTTAAAACCTAGACTCTACCACTTACAACTATGTGATATTGGGCATGTTATCTAACTCCTATGTGATGTGCCTGCCCTTCCTCATAGGTAAAAGGGGGATAATGTCTGTTTCATAGAAATGTCATGAGGATTAAGTTAGTACGTGTGAAATATTTATATTAGTGTCTGCAATATAGTTAGTGCACATGATTTGTGATGGAATCATAATGAATATATTGTTCTGCCACTTGTATATTCATAAAGAAAATATAGTGTAGTGATTAAGAGCATGGGCTCTGCTTCTCAATCTAATTGTCTGGTACAAATCTTAGTTCCATTATTTACTAGCTTTGTTACTTTCAGCAAATATATAAGCTTTCTGTCTCTGTTTCCTCTGTGAAGTTGGGATCATAGCTTTAGCTTTAAAATAAATAGTATATATAGAACATTTAGAATGACTGTCATGTAGTAGTTACTCAACAGATGCTAATTATCATTATATCATTAAAAATGCTCAGTTTAGTATTTCATGTTTTAGACATACCATAATTTATCCATTCTTTTATTGATGATCATTTAGCTTACTGCTAATTATTCATTGTCACAAAACATACTAGTTACCATACTGTTTTCTTGTACTTAAAAAATTAAAATAAACTGTATCTTTACTCGCATGAAGAAAGCTATTGCTGTTAACATTTCCTAACTTTATTTGTCACTCGAAACTTGAATACAAACTTTCAAGATCCTCTTTTGGATCATTACCATACCGCACATGCGATCAGCCCACTCCATTTTCCTATTAGTTTGGTTAAGTCCTAGAGTATGAGTGGAAAGCAGAACCATTCTGTGTGGTTAAAGCTGTCTTTCTGAGGAGTAAGCAAAAGCTGAGAAACAAAGGAGCCAAAAGGGACTTTTTCTGTGTTTGGACTGTTGGAATCTCAGGAACAGAATCTTTAGATATCCTGACATTTGGAAAAGGTAAGCCTAAATTCTTACATATTTTGGTTCATATTGTTTTATTTTCTTCCAAAAAGCCTTTAAGTATGAATATAAGCAGATTTTTCTGGATATATTTATAGCAAATATTATAAACCTATAAGAGGAAAATTGCATGTTGAATCAAGTTTGCTTTATCCTTTCACACTTTTGTGGAGTCTACAGAGAAAATTGGAAGTCTAAAAATTGTGCTAAAGAACCATGTAAAAGACTGAAATAAGTGCTTAGGGAAGTAAGATTTGAGTCCAGAAGAACAGAAAAAACAAACAAACAAAAAAAAAACAAAACAAAGAGAAGCAAAAGAAAAAGAAAGAAGAATGACAGTGAATTTGACAAACCTATTTGCATTTACATTATCATTACTTTTTAAATTTATTTTTTAAAATGACAGATAACATCGTATGTTTTTATCATGTATGACATGATATTTTGAAGTGTATATACATGTGGAATGGTTAAATCTAGCTAATTAACAAGTGCATTGCCTCACATAGCTCTTACCACAAAAATAATAACTATGCATCTACATTATTGAAAAGGTAAACTGGCTATATTTTGATTTCAATAAAGAATTTGCATGAGCCAAAGCTATATATTAATTACCACATCTTGTATACATTCTAAGGTATACTCAATTTTTAAATGTGCAACTCTAATGACATTAATTAAAAGTTCAGTGAAAACCAATTCCTTGACCGCAGCCTTCATTTTAAGTAGACTTTTTGATGATAGAGAATTTATCATTTCTAAATAAATCCTTAAAGATAGTTGAATATAACAATTATACATTTATATAAGTTTACACTTTTAAAAATACATGTGCACCGTATAATATTACCCTGACAATAACCTTTGAAGATTAATTAATTTCTCTTAATTTATGAGAAAATTGAGACACAAAAACAGTTAAATCAATTACCTGACGTTAAAAGTTAGTGGCAGAACTGGAACCCAAGTCTCCTCATTCTTGGTCCTGTTTTCTATCCTTTGAGCAACACTGCCTCCCTAAATCACTTTTGTTTCAGGTAGGAGATAAATCCTCATTTGACACATCAATGTACATTGCGTTAATGAGTTCTTTTATATTACAGGAATACACTAAAGTCTTCTTTTTAGAAAACTTGGCTAGTAAAATGCTTGGAGAAGCCTTCCTAATTGATCTCCTATACAAAGAACAGAAATATACAAAACTTTGCAAACCATTCACATGTAAGAAGACCTCAAATGATGAAAAGGAAACTTGGAAAAAGAAGCTTTTAGATATAGAAGAAAATTCACTTTTCCCCGCTAAGATGGAAAATCAAGAAAAAGATATGAAAGAAAATTTAACAGAACAAAGTAATAATACAAATCAAATAAAATCTGTGGATGAGATAACTGTAGCAAAATGCAAAGGTATACCTCTTCCAGGAAATGTGTCCATTGCATTGCCCATTCCAAAGAGAGAACAACAAGATGAAAGACAACTGGATTTATATCGATCCTGGTCATGCACAAGTATTTGCCATAATTATCCTGACCTACAGATCGGAGGCGACCACGTGGGAAACATGTATGATTCCGGCTGCTTTGTGGAACACACACACGATGATGTATCTAATGGTCCTCTTTTACTTTCAGTGGATATGTTATTGAGTCATTCTCCTACCATTGAGCCTCTAGAGAAACTACCTGCCTCAAAGTTATTGAGTGCAGATGAAATCCAAGAAAAAAGTATGTTGTTTCAAAAACAGCCCCTCTCTAATTCCATGCTTAATAGTTACATGGAAAAAAAGGTGGATGAACTCTACAAACAACTTTTGGAAGAAAATCTCACCAAGTGTCTCTCCATAACCAATCTTATGGCTTCCAATTTGCTAATGAACAATGTAAATCAGATTAGCCTTCAAATCTCTCAAGAGCAGAACATAGAGGTGTCGAAAGCTCGAGAAGCTCTCCTGAATTCTTTAGCACGATGTAATATCCATAATGTTTCCCATGGAAACAGTTCTGAATTCAGCACTCCTAACTTACAAATATCAAACCAGACAAATAGGGAACTTGTATCACGTGTACAGTAGGAACCAACTGTAGGTTGGTTGGACTGACTTAAGAGACTGCAGTAACAACAGTCTTCTCTAGATTATCGTGTCATGTCAGGTCTTCTTTGGAGTGTGGTTGTTATACCTTTTTAGAAATGATTTGACCCATGTTACATCTGAATTCTTGTAGGAGACAACTATAATAACTAGATTTTATGATCAGGTTTTCTTACTGTTTTGACATATTTAATAATTTCCACATTCAAGTTTGTATGTACTTACCTCTCTCATTGCCACTGCACCCCAAATTGATTAACTCACTGTCACTTAGCTTTATCTACCACAAAAGTAGAATGGGGAATGGATTGTTTCTCTAAGCTACTGAAAGGACCACTAGAAGATATATAAGAGAGGGGCATTTTTTTCTCCAAAAAATGCTTTTACACTGACAATCAGAATAGTCTAGGGGAAATTATTGTAATTAGATGTAGATTTAGATATCTATGTCTATATATATCTCAAGATTAGGTGTGAGGGCACATACAAGGAAATTCTTAAACAAAGTTGGATTTTAATAATGTTTGAAAAAAATATGTAGGGAAGGCTTAAGGAAAAACGGAAAATTTGCCAGTGCTATTTGTATTGAAACTTGGTGCTTTTGAACTTACCTGGGACAAGCACCAACTTTTTTATATCACTATATTTTGCCTGATTGTTTTCAGGAATGGGAGGAAGGAAACCATACAGGTAGAGTGAACAAAGTATATAGAGAACCGCTATTGAGAAATGAAGAGGCTCTCTCACAAACTTTTTACACTTCTCAGATTATCCTCAATCATGATCCTGGCTTAGAATAAAAGTCTACAGGGTACCTAAAGTAATCGTATGGTTTATTGCAGGCCTAGGAAAAAGACCCCATACATAACAGCTCATAATTCTAGAAATAATAAAATGATTGGCATGCACTTGTGTTTGTAAAATAAAATGGTATAAATTTATCTCATAAAATTGTTATGATTGCATTATATATTAATAAGATCTGTGCATTAGTAATCATGTATTACCCTCTGATTATCTTTGTGGTCTTTGATTAAACTTTATAGAATGAGTCACCTCAATTCCCTCACATCTTGATCTTTTTGGTCATACAATCCTTAGTTTATTTTTTCCCTCTTCAAATTTCTATGATCTAATAAAGTACCCCTAATTTATCTTCTGTTCTTCTCTTTATCATGCTTTTCTCCACCCTCCTTTCCCATAACTCTCCCAATGAATTTTCATCATTCAGATATTTAATTCTGAAGAGATAATGGTTAAGGTTTCAGAAAAACTGACTTAATGTCTTGTAGATACTGAAAAATAGTTGTTTATAGATTGTCTTTTATATTGTTACGTTTCTACATTTAATAAAAGAGTTACTAAAACGACTAAATATTTATGTTAAACTTTACTGAAGTAAATTAAATGTCATTGTTCAGCATTACTAGTGTGAATAGTTTTCTTAGAAACAGTGATATGTATTAATACTTTATGAAGCAGATATATTCATAAATAGCGTTAACACTACATGACATTATATAAAAAGCCACAGTATTTAGTGCATATCAAATTTAGAAATGCATCTAATTATAATCTCAGATTTTAAATTTCCTCCTCTTGTCTATGTTATCAAACTTCTTATTATCTAAGAATACTTCTGGTTAAAAGGATCTAAACATTTATTGTAATGTTTAAATAAGGAAAGATGATGAATTTGATGTTCTGTTGTAGCCTGATTTCATACCTACTGACTTCACTGCTTGAACGAAATATACATATGAGGTTGTGATTTAGCATGGTTTGGCTTTAAGTAGTCACTCCGTTTTTCCCATGGGTATCACTTATATGACCATACTATTCCCTTTCAAATCATTTCTTGAAATGTATAGAATAATAAATTTCTTTCTGTCTCACTTTTGTGGGAATTGAAAATATTAGTTTCATGTTTCTATGAAAGTGCAGAATGTTAGTGATTCAGCAGTTGGGGAGGATCATCATGTTTCTTATCAAGTAATAAATCAAGGAGGTCAAGTATGATGCTCAATACAATGCTGCCCCCCACCCACTGCCTATATAGGTCAGTTTAATTTATATCCCACCTTTGGATTTCAGGTCACTATTGTAGGGCTCAGAGTAGGTTTGACCCAGTGTCAGGTAATTTTCTGTCAGGAATGTCCTTGAAACATTAAAGCCTATTCAAAGGGTAGAATCTATACTGGAATCCTGGAATTCTTGTGCTTAATGTGTCTCATGTGTTGGTCCCTAAAAGAAGCCAGTCTCCCTGAGGTTCTGAAGACAGGAGCTAACACTGAGACGGTCCATTCAAGGTCGTAAGCAGACTTTTTGGAAGTGAAGAAACAAAGCAAATAGTTCCTGCCTTGGTGGCCGGAATAGAATATATACAGATGTATATATGTGTGTGTATATATATATACACCTCCCATTAATTTATTTTCCTATTAAGAGGTAAATCTGACTAAAATAGCATTACTACATAACGTGTGCTTGAATGAAGGGTGGAGGGGTGACTTGATAAGAATTAGTGTGAATAATAAACTGGAATAATTATGCAGTTAAATGGACAATTCTTTCAGTCAATATAGGAAGAAAGAAAACAAGTTAATATCAACAGACATACATTAAATCAAATTTAAAGAGATTTAATGTTTTCATGACTAGTCATTTGCATGGAAAATTAACCAATCAGCCATGTATGTGTGAAAATCCATGAAAAATGAAACAATGTTTGAAAGCAAAACAAGAAATGGTTGCCAAAAAATGTTCTCATAATGTTAAAATAGAGATAGCTTTCCTTTTAAAAAATGCCTAGGGGCAACTTGGGACTTTAAGTCCCCAATTGTGCATTCTTTTCCTCAAGATTTAGTAGAAATTTGTGAAAATGGTCTTATTATTATACTATTACTATACTATTGTACTATTGGTTTAGTATTTGTTACAGTGTAAATGCATAGCATCACTTGGAGTTTTATGAAATAACCTTTAAATAATTATATTTAAGAACATATCTATTAATATAAAAATGATGAGAACCAAATGAAAGTATATTGACTTCAACTTAAAAAATGAATCATTGCTAAGGGCAGCTAATTCTTTGAATTGTTCTGCTATTTCTATTTAAAGTTGAGAAATTTGTAGCTAGCAGAATTACTATATAGTTCTGGTTTTTACTTCTCCAAATAAGTGAAGGCAGTTTATCACAACAAACGAATTGTTGAAAACGTTGGTTTTATCTGAAAGTGACTGACCTCTGTATGTAGGCTATTTCCTGAAACTATTTTTCTCTATAATTGTAAACTGGACCGATTTCTGCTAAATAGACTTTGAGTAGAATTGAAAAAGCTTAACAGTTCAGGATCCCAGGGACTTGTGTGGTTTTGTCTCTTTCCTTTAAAGGTTCAGCTCTGGCCGGGCGCGGTGCCTCACGCCTGTAATCCTAGCACTCTGGGAGGCTGAGGCAGGTGGATCGCTCAAGGTCAGGAGTTCTAGACCAGCCTGAGCAAGAGTGAGACCCCCGTCTCTATCAAAAAATAGAAAAGAAATTATCTGGACAACTAAAAATATATATAGAGAGAAAAAATTAGCTGGGCATGGTGACGCATGCCTGTAGTCCCAGCTACTCAGGAGGCTGAGGCAGAAGGATCGCTTGAGCCCAGGAGTTTGAGGTTGCTGTGAGCTAGGCTGATGCCACGGCACTCACTCTAGCCAGGGCAACAAAGCGAGACTCTGTCTCAAAAAAAAAAAAAAAAAGGTTCAGCTCTACTTTAGAAAGATCATATAATTGTAGAACATCCTTGTAGTCTTCTCCTTAGGAGGAGCTTAGAAATATTGATATTATAAGGGTTCTTATGATATGAGGCCAGCTTGAGTCTGGAGCAGACCTCAGCGACCAGTTTGAAACCAGGAGTTCTCAGAGCTTTCTGCCTTCCAGAGGGACATATCCTCAGGACAGTCCAGGTCCTAGAAAAAATTGCCTGGCTCTTCATTCATTAAACAAATAATTCTCGTGCACTGTGATAGGTGATAGGAATAAATGGTGAACAAAAATGATACAATTCCTGCTTTTCACTGAACTTACAGTCTAGCTGATGTAGTATCAGTTAGAAATAGCAACTTTAGGGCTATGAGAGGTACAAGCACACAGCTCTAGATATTCTACACTGATAGTTTTGTTTGCTTGGCCTGTTCATAATCTAGTATAAATCTTGTATCCAGCACTGCTATTTTGTTGATATCCACCAGTATGGTTCTAATGATGATTAAACATGTTGAACTATGTTTCCATGCCAGCTGGTATGAAGCTGCTACCCCAACCCTCTGAGTCCTACCATTATGACCATCCTGGTCACTCTGGCCACCCCCTGCTCTGGACCCTTGTATCTCCTCATGACCCAGCAACTAAACAGGCAAACATGGGGCCGCTAGTATCCAGCTCCAATACTACCTGTGGCACTTCCTGTCCATATAAGTTGTTAAATATTTTGAGTCTTATTTCTGCTTGTATCTACTTCAGTATTGAGATTCCTGTTCCAAAAATCTGCTCAGTGACACTATTATTCTTAGACTTGGGCCTTGCTTTTTCTCTTATAGTTCCTAAGTAAATGATGACCTATTCCTGAACTTCAAACCTTTGACTGGACCTTCTAAATTTTAGTCACCTTCCTTGATTGTCTCTTGCTTTGTTTTGAATCTTTATTGCTGTTTGCACATCTAAGGTCACTTGCTTCTTGATACACTATACAGATCCAGACTGTCTTATGAAATTATTTGTTGCCTGACACTTGTCAACCAAATTCAGCGACTTGAGACACTAAATGATCAATGAGGACCACTTCATGTGTATTGGACATTGATTGTAATATTTTATTTTATTTTATTCCTGCTTTATATGTAATTTCTGACTTAAAAATTGGTAGTGCATTATGTTCATAATTAATGTTAATTCCATTTTAAACACTGAGGAGTTATACTTTAAAGCTTAA